GAAGGTTAAGTATCTCTGTGTCACGTGGTTTTGTTTGTTTACCTTTAGTTAATTACCTAAACAGATGGACTATAGAGCTTTTCTCAGTATATTTAAGAAAGTAACTCGTAATTTTTAGTTAATTCAGCATATCTCACAATAGTTATTATCCCATGCCACTCGACAATTGTCGCGGAGAACCTAACGGGCTATCGGGGCTCCGGCTCGACGTGCAGGAGAAGGAACGGGGTGGTTTTTAGTCAGTAAGAGTCTGACATAACACTCTTCTGAATCTGAAAATCATCGAATGACTGCAGGAACAGTTATTCGATGATTTTCCCTTAAAAAAAATTACACTCGAAAATTACAGAAAAAGCTATAAAGACTCATTCTAAAATAAGAATCTTGGATATCAAATATTTAACAACAAATGAAGGTAGTACTTTTAGATCCCTTCATCTAATTGAATAAAAATAATGAATGAAATATAGTTCAACATTACTAGGATAGAAGAATCATAAGAACTTGGTTGGCCAGGTGGTTTTTAATTACCTAATTAATTCCATTATGGTAACAATGGACAAGACCTGAATAAATAAATTAATGTTTATGCTAATATAGTACTTATAGTTGGTATAGTAAGATATCATTTAACTTAAGTATACAGTATTTCCATTCATTTTTTTCTATGGACAAGACTAAACTAAAGAAGTAATTGTAAAGAGAATAGATATAGTAATAAAATCTACAGACTAATTTCTATCATGGTATTAAATCTAACTAGATAGTAGTAGATTATAGTGCACAAACACAAGTGCACTCTCTGAACCCGGTAGGACAGAGGTCAGGCGCAGGACCAACGGCGACACGTGCGCACTGAGGCACGGGGGTGAAACACTGCCGAACTTCCTGACTAATTAGGCCAATAAGGGTCATTTTCTGAGGAAAATGCCATTATTATTATTACATTCCATAGCAGCCGGTCACGCAACCACTGTGCCAACCATGTAGAAAGAATACAAATGTCATAACATTTTTATTTCTACAAAACTTTTTATAGAAAATGAAGTTCATGTTTATTTAAGAATTTCATGTTTATCACTCAAGATGAAATACCCCTGTATCTTTTTCATATTCTTTATTGTTATCCTAAAATGAGTAATTTTTTTTTTAATTTGTATAGATGATAAATCATACCTGGCAAGTACAGCCCTGATAGCGACCCACAGCACCCGCTCCCCACCACCCCCAGCATTGCAGTACGGGTGGAAGAACGCCACATTAGCGCCATCTCTCTTTCGTCTCTCCAACTTGCGTTCCTTGATCCTCATGTACCATGATGCGAAGATAAATGCGCATGGTATCAGTATGAAAGTGATGAATAGCAAGAATACTATGAATATCAGCGGCAACAACACCAGTAATCTAGAAAAAAGAAATATTATGATTATTGCATCATTAGTTACTTCAACAGGAAAGTATATATGATATTTTTGCTAAAACTTCCTTGTCATGTTATTAAAATACGATGCAGTGAGCATGCATGGTGCAAAGACGTTTACAAGACTTCCAGCGGTTTTGGGAGATTATGGCGGGCTTATCTCATAAAAAAAAGCGTCAGTCACAATGCGTCATAAAAAAAAATTGTTAACAATTGTATTCGCAACACAGTTTTATATTAATGATAAGTATAAGAATATATCGCTAATGTATTATCTCATCTACATCCGTAATAACTTATACATTGAGTAATCATTTTACTTAAGTATAACCAACGCTACTTTTTTTTATAACGTTAACGATATCGTGTAATTCCCACTAGAAAACACTATTTTTGTGTGACAATCAAAGAGAAAGTACCTCAAAATGAACTGTATCTATTAAAAATTTATTAAAACTGTATAAAATCGGTATTCAGCAAGTAAATATTAATAAATTGATAAACAAAGACGACTTACATGAACCACTGCAAAAACATTGTTGAACCAAATGTTCTACCGGTCTAACTTCACAGAGAACACAACTACGACATTAATTATAGTTAATGGACTTCGTGTTACGCAAACACATCTGGTTATTGTTTAACAAAGAAATTAATAAATATCATAATAATAGATATTCGATATAACCTCGCAACGTAAACATTCCCGTTGGCAAGTCAACTGTAGACAAGAGACCGGATGTGTCAGCTGTCACCCGGCACCACAGGCAATATCACGCGACAGAAAACTCTATGGTGTTTTAAAGCGGCATTACTGCAACCATGGATCTAAAAAAAGGGGTTAGGTCCATTTAAACAATATTTTTATTGTAATTATAAATAGAATGGCGTTATAATTTTTATGTCTATTACTTACCTATTAGAAAATGGAAAATGTTATTAAAAACTACATCGCTGAACGCGTAGCGGACTAAGATTTCTGAAGTATTCTGCGACTAAGACTTTTTCTTAGTCCGCTAGTGAATAGTAGCTGAGTACGCGTAAGCAAGAGGGTTGATGATATTATTTGCTAGTCGCACCCGAGATTTTCCGCAGACAAGCCGTGGTGTCTACGTTAAAATCGGCGCTTGAACGCCTTCATGTTTGTCTTCGAATTCAATCCGTGCCGTTATGGTTGAAATAAACTCCCATATGTATGAGCGTAAATAAATCTGGACCCAGTGAATGTTTAAACTGAAGAAATTTATTATACATTACATCTCATAATGTGCACTTTAGACTTTTCGGACTATCATTATTAGCATCAGCAATAGGCCCTGGCCCATGGCTTTTAACAGTCCACTAGTAGCATATATGTATATATAATATTATAATAGTAGCATATATACACAACTCTACATTTCTTCGTGGGTACGCGTCAAAATGAACCAGAGCTTGCCTGTCTGGTTTGGCAGCCAAAAATATGTAATAACCCTCAGTCAATTAAAAAAAAAGAGTAAAGGTAGAAAGTGATAACCTCATAAAATTGAATTTTTATATTTTGTTTGTATGTACATATACTATTAAATCTATATATAAATCTAATCACAACTTTTTACACATACATACATACACACACACACACATTCTGCAGAATTTATTTTATTTACATAATATCTTTATTCTTTACTTTGTTGAGGTCGGTACCGCCGTCCATGAGTCACTGCAGGGTGCCACCTGAAAACCAGCGTTGGGCATGAACGCTCAACTATATGCTGTGGTGAAGGCCCTTTTGGCATGAGCACGCGCACTTTAATATTATTTGGTTTTCTTTTTTTGTTGTAATATTTAATTCAATTTAACTATCGCATTGTACATTATTTTGTTATTCTATTTCTATGTTTTTTGTTCTTTTATTTATTCTTTTAAGTTTATTATTAATATTTTAATTTATTTAAGTATCTGTATTTTTATTTTTTATAAACTGTGTTTTGTGTGGTAATTGCCAATGTAATGTTTTTTTCTCCTATAGCTCCCCGGGAGCTAGCCTTAGGTCTGACACTTTATCAAGCAATCACTTAATTTGATTACTTATTATGTTGGTAGACTTGTAACTCGACGTATTTCTTCTCCAGGAGATGATAATACAACTGTTTTTTTTATGGCATAAGCCGGTAAACGATGAGACGGATCACCTGATGGTAAGCAATCGGCGTCGCCCATGGACACCTGGAACACCAGAGGCGTTACAAGTGCGTTACCGGCCTTTTGGGGATTAGGAGTTTGACGATTGTTGGTAACAGGGTTGTTGCAAATATCAGCATCAGCATCAGCATCAGCGGAATATCAGCATTATTGTCCACATCAGCATCAGCATCCGCATTAATTGTTGCTGATGTTAGATGCTGATGTTCAAAGTTCGTTGACCGGCAATGGGCGGAGGTAATGGCACGTGCCGCAGTCGCTTCCGAATTTTGGCCAATCAAAATACATATATTTCATAACAAATCGTCAATTAATATTGCAAGCATTGCAAGCAAAGTGCAGTACTATCCTGTCACCTCCGCCTGCAAGCGTCCCCAGCGAACAGTTATTCAGCAGTGCCGGCATTATATACAAACCTACCCGCAACAGACTGCAAGCTGAAAAAGCAGCTCAGTTGTTGTTTTTGAAATACAACTTGCCGTTAATAGAATTCCAGTATTAATAATAATTTATTACTTAACTAGTTTTTACGTATTTGTTGATTCTTTAAAAAGTTATAGAATTTACTTCATTAAACTGTCAAACACCAAGCGGTCACCGGTGACCGCAACCTATTGTTCTATAATTGTGTCTACAAAACCGGTACTCGACGAGTTAAAAAGTTATAGAATTATTAAAATTTATCTTTTATTAAAAGTAGATCGATGAAAATATAATATTTACCTACCTAAAAATGTATAAAATTGAGTAGGTATAAAAAAAACTTAAAATCAGCATCAGCATCAGCATCAGCTGATGTAAATTACAATAAATCAGCATCAGCATCAGCATCAGCATCCGCTGATGTGACAAAATCCTGCATCAGCAACAACCCTGGTTGGTAATGATTGGGGAAGGGGAGGGTAATTGGGCCTCCGGTAACCTCACTCACACTACGAAACACAGCGCAAGCGTTACTTCACGTCGGTTTTCTGCTCGGCCGTGGTATCACTCCGGTCGAGCCGGCCCATTCGTGTCGAAGCATGGCTCTCCCACACTTAAAAATGTCATGTCCAACAAAATTAGCCCTGCCCTAGTCCGATAGTGGCTAGTTTCTGAGATGTTTTTGTAATAACTATCGTGAGACATACTAGATATTTTCCTCAAAGGGTTCCTCATGAGTAGCCTACTCAGTAGGTTGCGCGACGTCGCCGCGACCGCGCACGGTGCTCATAAGTAAGAACCCCTCTGTGGTCAGTATATTCACGTGAGTAACCCGCGATTTATAGTTAGTTTCTGAGATATTCAACAAAACCATTAATAAATTAAAAAAAACTACTTGTTTGATTTAATTGGTCAATTATAGAACTCGAAAAGACTTCATAGAATAAATAAAAAAAACAAATAAAATGTACTATATTTTATATTATAATGTAACATGCTGTTTAACAATATTGTCCTTATATATTTATCCATAATGAAATATTAACAAATGTTTGTTTGTAAACTACATTAGCAAATAACACAGCATTTAACAATACTATATACTATAATAGTGATCATTTCATTTAAGTTATAGGATAATGTATCTTATTGTTCGTCTCCTTTAGGGTGATTATAAGTTGTAATAAAATTTCGTAAAATTGTTTGCCCTAAGTCAATACGAAGTAATTCACTTAATATGTTACACATTAAAATTGAACCGTATGCCGATGACAATAAAGTTGTTGAGACCTTATCTTAAAGTAAAATTATAAAAAATAATGCGTAATAAAGTATCACAAAATTATTCTTATTGCTAGATCAAATAAATAATATACAATTTGTACCGTATACACATTACATAAGGCTCAGTTTCCTTTGCATCTAAAATCATAGGTAAGCAACGTTCATAGATAGTGTTACAGAATTATAAAACTTAATCTCATTGAATAAGGTTCAGTTTTCCATGATGAATCAAAATATCATAAAAATGTATGGCTAAAACTTTATACAATACAATATGAATCTTATATCCAAGGGGAATAGTTTATTTAGCGGTATAAGCATCATAGAAGAATAAACTCTATAAATATAGCAATTAAGTCCATAACTGAATTTTAAGTATTTACAAATTGTTTTTATTAATTTTATGTATTGCAAAATCTACTTAATCAGATTGTTTGTCAATTAAAACGTAGTCCATAACATAATGAACCTCATACATATGATTATAAAGTCGATAACAGAGTTAGCACATAAGTAAAACTTAATTAAAATCAATAATTAAAAAATGAACCTTATCTCTAAGGCAATAACGTTGAGAATTCAATTTTATTTAATTAGAATACTTAATTTTTATTCAAAGGAACGAAATCTGGTTAGAAGTTAATACATAAATAAATATCACACAATAAAACGTTCATAACAAAATGAACTTAATGCCTAAGGTAATAAAATCGACAACCAAATCAGCGTGAAGATACCAAAATTCTAAGATTTCATCCATTTAGACATACATATGATTAAAACATTATACATTACAAATGAACTTTATGCCTATAGCAATAAGGTAGGTTTCTACGTGGGTTCCTCACTAGCCTGGTCTGGTTCGTCGGTGACTTCTGCAGCTAAGTCTGCGAACTTGGCGACGTAGTCCACGCTGGACTCTGCCATCAGAGATTGTAAGTGGGAGTCCACCTGTGGGAGTTGATATACGAATGTAGTTCTTGTATACTACAATAACTATCGTGAGACATACTAAATTAATTAAAATCGCGGTTACTCACGTGAATGTACCAGTGAGCTGCGCGACATCGCCGCGACCGCGCACGCTGCTCATAGTGCTCATGAGGAAGAACCCCTCTATGGTTCGAAACTAGTAGAGCTTTTCTCAGTATATTCACGTGAGTAACCCGCAATTTTAGTTAATTTCATATACTTTTTTTAAGGGGGGAAAATCGTCGAATGACTGCTCCTGCCTGGGTGAGGCGGGAGGGAGTCTTTCTTTCTTTCTTCTTCTTTCTATTGAATTGTCCTTATTTGCTAAGTCATAAGGTTGATTTATCCATTAAGCAGTATTATTATCATTAAACGGTATTATTTAGTTTGCCCCGTTTGTTTGTTTCGGTCAAAATTTTGTAATTATAATTTCACCCCCTTCCTGACAACAGATTCTGATCGATCTGATATATTGCGAGTTATTATCACGCTGTCTATTTAATAAATCCCGTAAAAATCTGTTGCGTACTCGTAAAGATCTAAGCATACAGATACACAGGCGAAAGTTACTTTGTATTGTATTATGTAGTGACGACCGCACAGTATAATCTATTGTTTTATAAAACTACACATTTAACATACCAAATATTTTTAGATCTCTGGTCAGAGAACAGTATACATACATTGGGTCTCCCCTCGAGGTGTCCGAGGAAGCTGGTCAGTGAGAAGTCATGCTCGGCGGCGTCCAGCCAGCCCTCCGCGTCATGCAGCAGGCGGGACGGGGACAGGGACATCGACTCGGACGACAAGAACTCCGCTGTAACGACATCCACTCATATTTATTGCTACAGGCTACGAAATAGCACTTTTATATTGTGGCGACACATGTCATATGTCAAAGGATGACGTCATAAAATCCTACATCGCACATGCAAAGTTTACAAATCGAATTAACACGAGTAGAAAATTCCAACGAACAACTGTTGGGCAGAAAGCCTGCCAGGCACGATCACCTCGCCTAGTCGGAGGATTCTCCTTTTCCGATCTTAGGGACCTATACTCACTGTTCACTAAAATATGATAACATTTCAAAACTATCTAGATAAAATAAACTTAAATAGATTTAAAAGTGGGAAAGCCATGCTTCGGTACGAATGACCCGGCGTGATTGGAATGGTACCACGGCCGAGAAAAAATCCAATGTAAAACAAATGTTCTGCCGAGTGAGTGAGGTTTGTGGAGGCCCAATTCTGCCCCTCCCACATACAATCCCCTATCCGGCATCTTCAGACCATCAAAGGTCGACAAGGTACTTGTAACTCCCCTAGTGTTGCGGGTATCCATGAGTGGTACCGATTGCTTACCATCAGATGATCCGTCTGCTCTATTGCATAATTAGTTAGTATAATGCACTCACGTGGTGCAGTAGTGGCGCCAGTATGTTCCTGTTTGTTCCCCTCCCCCTTGTCCCCCTCGTCCCCTCCCTCCGGACTGAGGCCTGGCTCCTGCACTCCGTTGCCGTTCGTCTTCGAGTCTTCCGATGGACATTCTTTTTCTGTTGGGGAAAGATTTGTATATGAAATTAATGGTAATTTTCACCAACCATCTCTTAACTGAGAGTTACTCAGCACCTAAACTAATTTTGAACCCTGCAGCTGTGTCACGCCATTGGACGGTCAATATTTAACAGTTACTGTAATTGGGTAAAAACGCCTCGTCCTACATTAATTGTAGGCCTATTTGGCTCATACTACACTCGCAGAAAGAGAAGGGGTGGTTACTATATTTGTCACCGCCCCAGCTCTCAAAACAATCCTCAAACTACTCCTTACAACCACTCACAATCAGATAACTAGGCTTAAAATAAAATTATTGAGTCTGTATTGAACCTAGTTGAGTAAAGATTACTATAAAGAAGTATTAGCAATATACGTACTGATGAGGATAGGTTGGTGCAGCGGTTTCTCCGGCACGATGGGAATGCGTCGGTTGCCGTCGTGGAAGAAGTACTGGCCGTTAGACTCGCTCACCACGTACACTATCGTCGACACGCTATTGCTGAAATAATACACATACAATTATTTATTTTTGTAAAATAGCACTTCTACACTTAATATTTCATATTTAACTAGTATTCGGAGCTGCGGAGAGCCTAGCAGCAGTAGGAACGGGGTAGTTTTTAGTCAATAAGAGTCCGACACTCTCTCGTCTAACGCAAGGCGTGAGAAGTCATTGGATTATTTTCTGCCCTAAAAAACCTGTTTGACTCTTATTGATGGTAGCGTAATGATTTATAGCCTATTATAGCTTTCCTCGATTTAATGGAGTATCAAATATTTTTTTATTTATTTATTTATATTTAAACATTACATTTATTATCACAGGCACCCCTGATACAATAAATGCACATTAATAATACACATTATAAGTAAACTTAAAAACTACTATAACCTTCATCAAAATCTATTACACATAATCCCCTAGTAACCGTAAAAGAATTTGGACAAAGAAAAACAAAAGAATTTATTGAATTCGGACCCGTAGTTCTGGGAAATAGCTCGTTTATACAACCTCGTCTTTATATATGAAGTAAATAGAAACGTCATTAATAGGACACCATAATACTTTCGTTCTTAATGTAATGACCCCAGACTATTTAATTTTTTTTTTATTGTTTTCTGTGTTTCACATTTCATATAGTGCACAAAAAATATATAGTAAATAAATATATATAATATATAAATAACCATCCCAAGTAAAAAGTTATTCTGTAATTTAAATTTATCCTATGTTTGTAGCTTCAAGTTTCTCCATTGTATTTGCTAAGTAGATTTATGGTTCTGTGGCAACGTCGTGGGGAGTATATTTCTTAAATCTATTATTTTAGTCACTCGTATTATATATTTAATATACTGCTGTTTGTTATCCTTGATAAATAAATACATACATACATAAATTCACGCCTGTCTCCCATGAGGGTAGGCAGAGACTAGGGAACGCCAATTACTACGATTCCTACCATACCTCCATACCTCTTTCGCTTCATCAACAGTCATCAATCTTTTCATGCATGCTCGTCAATTAAGGGTATTTTTAATTTGGCCCTTCTTTAATATATCGCCAATCTGGTCACTATATTATTATGTCCGTCTAGGGTGCCCTCTACCGACGATAAATAAATAGCTTTAAGCATTATGTATTGTACTTACTCTTGCGCGAGTAGCGGTGGTTTAGGCAGCAGTCGCGGCGGCGGCGGGGACGACGGGGCCGACACCTTCTTCGCCGGACCCACCGCCGTACTGTCTGCGGCAGAATGTACTGGGTATAGTACCATACTCATTTGGTATACACGTACGAATATAAAGTTAGATTTACTACAGACAGATATATAGGGACAATGAAAATATTAATACGCATGTTTTGTTTTCTTAAAATGAGTTATTTAGGTATAATGAATAAAGGTTCACGTCTACGTCATTGTTGAGCATAAAATATAGTCAAATGTGACGATAAATAATACTTCAAATCAATTAAGCGATTAAATGTTTTGATTCTGTACAAAAATAAACATAACATCACGCTTTTTATCCCCGAAGAGGTAGGCAGAGGTGCAAATTATACCACTGTACAATGTAACACCCACTTTTCATTATTTATGTTATGAGTTCCATGTAATAGGAGGTGAGCCTATTGCCATATACCGGGCACAACTCCAGACTCCGTGCTATTACTGAGAGTTTTTTAAAACCCAATAATACTTTGCCCGACCCGGGAATCGAACCCGACACCCCTTGCCCGGCAGTCGTACTTGCGACCACTCGGCCATCGAGGCAGCTTATTTTACTACTACTACTGATAATTCCACCCAATCGATCTGCAAGTTCTCATCATTGAACAAATCCTATAAAGGAACGAGAAGTGTATGTACAATGTATAGTATAGTTACCATTAGCGGGCAGTTTGGGCAGTAGCGGCAGTAGCCTCTGTACCACGACGCGGCGGTCGGCCAGGCGGGGCCGGCCGCGCCGCCAGCGGGGCAGGCCTTCCCACTGGATCTCGGACTGCGCCAACTATGGACAACAACATGTTATACTCTTAAAAAACATTTTATGATAAGGGCACAGACCAAAAGACTGTGGAGAATTAATATTTAACAGTGAAAAAAATACTAACTATAACTTATCTACTAATATTTCAAATTTATTTAACATAACACCGGTTTTGAACTCCAAAAAGGAATATACCCGATATTACAAGGTGGAACGTTTTTACAACAATTAATAATAATAATAATTCTTCCATAGTTCATACAGGGATAGTCGCCGGTTTGTGTGTCCATATTACATTTACATTAAAGTTGTCTAAAGGGACTCTGCGCAGTTGGCTTCGGCCCATCGTACGCCTTCCAAATGACAGGGACACTGTGGTCCCGTGAATAGCAAAGACACACATATTAACTCGTCGAGTACCGGTTTTGTAGACACAATTATAGAACAATAGGTTGCGGTCACCGGTGACCGCTTGGTATTTGACAGTTTAATTCATTTGATAATTTGACATTTTTTGTGTTAAAATTATATATTTCCTTGCTGTGCCCGAGAGGGTCCACAATGATCTATATTATCCCCTGTTACCACCTAAGTCAAACATTGTGGACTGTAATAAAGTATTTGAATTTGAAATACATAATTATAGCATTGTAGAAGTCATTATAGAAACACCAGTGAATTATAAGCCCGAAAAAAATATTTTACCCTTTTATACAAAATAATGCTTACTATTATGCGCTATAATTTTGAAGAGTTAATAGTTACAACATATTTGAATGTAGACTACCTCTGCTCCGGGCCGCGGGGCGATGGGTATGGGCTGCCGGAACACTGCGCCCGCCATGTCCGCCGCGGGGGACGTGTACTGCTGCGGTTTCTGAAAATATACAAATATTTATTTATTTTTGCATATTTTATACAGATACGTCAGAGTATTATTAAAAAAGTAACGCCATCCTATTAAATAATATTGAAAACAGTTTTCAGAAGACATTGGTAGAGGAGTATATTCGAAAGAATAGGTCTTCTTAGAAGGCCGATAACGAACTTGTAACTTTTCTAGTGTAGCGCTGATTTTTACCATCAGGTGATCTGTCTATGCGTTTATTCCTTATTACTTAACAGATATAGTTACCAGTAGTGGCAGCGCGAGCGTGTGTTGGTGTGTCCGGCGCGGACACGTGGCGGGGCAGCGACAGCGCGCCCTCGCCGCGCCCCCCGCCGCCGCCCCCGCGCCCCCCACGTGGGGGTTGCCAACTAGGCACAGTAGTCGACGTAACCTGCACGGTAAGTAAATCATAATTTAAAACGGTTACAAAAACACAACTTGAAATAGTCAACTTATCAATATTGCAATAGAAAAGGGTCATGCTTTACGTAAGAGAACCACACTTTGATACGAATGGAAACGGGTTTTTTAGGGGGTAAACATAACATAACGGGTAATAACATAACATAACATAGCGCCTTTTATTCCCGAAGGGGAAGGCAGAGGTACACATTATGCCACTGTACAATGTAACACCCATTTTTCACTATTTATGTTATGACTCCCATGTAATAGGGGGTGAGCCTATTGCCATATACCGGGCACGATTCAAGATTCCGTGCTACTACTGAGATTTTTTAAAAACCCAGTAATACTTTACCCGACCCTGGAATCAAACCCGAGACCCCTTGCCCGGTAGTCGCACTTGGGACCACTCGGCCAACGAGGCAGTATTTAACTCGTTGAGTACCGTCATTATAGACACAATTATAGAACAATAGGTTGCGGTCACCGGTGACCGCTTGGTGTTTGACAGTTTAAATTGACATAAAAACATCACAGAAATAGTTCACATTAATATATTATACTCAAAAACGATCAGTTTACTTGACTGACCTGTCACTCATGACAGCAAACCCGTTCTGTTGTGTCTGTGGTGCCTGTGGCCTGTTGATGAGTTTGCTGACCAGTTTCAGGGTCCCCCCGCCCGATGACGACTTATGGTCCGGAGACGCCAACTGCTCACCTAATACCAAACATCAGCTATGTATCCACACACCCATAAAAGTTATTTTAAACATATTCCTTTAAAACGTACAGATTTGTACAGGCCCGGATTTTGTGTAGGTGTACTAAAATTGTTTGTTTAGAATCCGGCCCTGTGTTTCATGGTCAAGCTTCGTGCAACTTTGGTTGAATTGTGATTTATCATCATGATGTCATGTTGAAATTAGATATTTGATACAAAGCTATACAATTTATCATGGTCCCGTTTTGTATGATCTTTTCAGACTTCTAACAGCCAGTTTATACTGGTTTACCACAGCTTGATGTGTGCACATTTGTACATAGATAGATACTAGCTCTTCTCTTTTTTACCAATTTATTTCTATTATTTTAGGAGAATTTAACAACAATAATGAATTAAACTAGTCTACAGACTCCTTTGCTTGAGATAGCATAACACTATAACAGTATTCATTTTATTTTAAGTATAAACAAAATTGTTTGAATTGAGTATTAACCTTAATCAAAAATAAATTACTTCGACTGTCCAATACAATAAAATATTACAAAATAATCACACTGTCATTAATTGATTTTATGACTAACTTAATTTTAATATTTCTCCAGCAATTTTTTAAGAAATAAGTATGCTGTTGAGGCTAAATAAACGTGACGTCACAATACACAATCTCGTACAAAATTCATAGAAAATTGGCTTTTTGACAGTTCAAAAAAAGTATTTAATTTAACTAGTTGGCAAGTACGCAATTCCATCAGAATTCGTAATTAAGCATCGGTGCAACAAAATGCTTAAAAAGTTCTTATTTGCGAATTATAATCTTCACTTAAAAGTAGTAAATAATAAATATGAATCATAAGTTCAATGCTATACAAACAACTATAATACAATACTTACACTTCCTCTCGTCTCCCGACATTCCATCGTTACTGTCCTGGCTGTACGTGTTCTTCGGGGAAAGAATATCATTGTCACTCTCTCTAGCTCTCTCTTTCTCATCTTCTACTGAGCTGTCGGCTCCTTTGTCAGATATCTTGTCGCGTTTATCCGTCAGTAAGGTAGGTGCGGGTAAGGACGATTTTTGTGGCTGCGGTAAAGGTGGTGTCGGTTCCGCCCACCAGTAATCTAATTCTAGCTTAGATCGGGAACCGAACTGCAATATTGTATGAGATTAAATTTAGTAGTATAGTATTTTCTTAGGTATCATAGATCACAAACCACAATTAATAGATCACTCAAATAATGACTTCCGTCTAGGAATCGAACTACCGGTCCATTGCGCAGTAACTACTGCGCTAACCGTGCAGTCAAAGGAGAACGGCAGATTTCGTACCGCTTTGCTAAAAAAAGATTTGTCATTGTTTTGCCTTGGGCAATTGGGTAGCTATAGAATCCTCTAAATACGTTATGTTAGCATATTTAATAGATTTTTAGAACTTGGGAAGCCCTAGAAAATCTGATATTCAATAATGATAAGAAGCAATCAACAAAACGGCTACATATTAAATAAAAACAAACCGCGATTGACGTTTATAAAGTTGCCATGCGTAAACATGAAATCAGAGTATATTGAATGTCGCTATTTCATAAACTCATTTATTTTAATATCAATGGAATATTTTCCTTTCCATTTCAAACATTTTTTATAAGTAAATATCATTATTTTAATTTCATTTTGTGAGGTCTACATGGATTATTAACGATAATTAACATTTTCACAAACTTGAATATGGCAATGTTGAACTGGTATTTGACATTTGTTGTTGAAGACGATTTGTCAATGTCAAGTGCGCCTTGCTGTTGGTTTCGAATGCGGTGTTATGATGTGTTTGTACAAATTGGAAGTCATTTTATTCATCTGGTGATACTTTGAGTTGGGCAGCCGTTCCTCCGTAGCCGAAATTGCGAAAATACACTTATTTTCATTTGTGCATAGTGTGTTGTATTTTGTCGCGATGACGAATTTACAGTGCATTAATTACAACCAGAGTTTGTCGCATGAGACGGCATGCTCTAGGAAATGAGAGTGAAGACTAGACGTGGTCAACAATATCCCATTGTGGACTTATCCTAGAGATGTAAGTAGGTACTTACCTATAATTACACATGACGTATCGAAAGTCACCTTGTTGCCTAAATAAAGGGGGCATAGTGTTATCTACCTATAATGTATCATTTTATTCTAGATCTCTCCTACCGACCATATTTGCCATGCTTGCTGGCAATTAGCAATGTATTGGGATGTTCCTGAAAGTATGTCCAGCAAACAAACTGATCATTGACATGTCTGTGTCGTATGTGGGCATTCCATTGCAAGGATAAGGTGACGCAGGGGTTTAATTGAAGGCGCCAACGAACAGGAGCAAAGACTAGCTCATATAGTATCTGATTGGATTCAGCCACGAAAGGTAATAATTTATTGTATTAACCATATACTATTATCATATAATTTAAAGTCAATATGACATTCTAATAATATTACTTTTTTTAGCTTACTTCCAATGATGAAGATCGTGTTCCATGCTGGCTGAGAGCCTTAACAAGAGTCGGATCTATAAGACCACAACCTGACATACCACCTCATAGTGTTCACTATCAGGATGTAATGTGTTATGTAAACATTTAAAAAAAAAAAAAAAAAAAAAACGTTGCCCCACACTAGGATTTTCTCCTGTGTCGTGGGTGCGTTTACAAACATACAAGTTCACATACACAATGGACTAAGCCTCACTTTAACATTGCCGTTTGTAGAACAGATGAGGCCAGAAGATGTTGATCGGCTGTCAGAGCTTCAATAGGTATGTGAAGTGTATAACCGGTTTATAATAGGTTTATACACATGTTATAATTATAATAATTGATTAATTAGCATGCTGTTTGAGCTCCTATGATGTGTGTTATAGGAATACCCTATTAAACTGTCAAACACCAAGCGGTCACCGGTGACCGCAACCTATTGTTCTATAATTGTGTCTATAATGATGGTACTCGACGAGTTAAAGGCATTTTAACATTGTAAAATCAAATAATGTAATCAAATATTTATTTTTATCTTTTCTATTTTGAGATAGGGAATCAGAATTATAACATGTGAAACTAATGGAAAAAATGTTGTTTTGTTTACTTTATTTACAGTTATCTTACTTGTTTACAGATATCAGCAATTAATGAAGTGTGTGCTGTATGACACCGCCTGCTCTCTTTTTAGAAGAAGTACTCCTAGAAACAACCTAAATACAATGAAATAAAAGTATTTCAAAATAATACATTTGTTTTATTTTAAACAGGTACCTAGTAACTATATATAAACAATCTATAAAATAAATGCCATCTTTATTTTAGATTGCTTTAGTTTTATACCAAAAATGTTCATTTTCATTTTACATTTCTTTACTTGTGTTGTGGTGGCCAGGAGGTTTAAGAAGCCCGTTTCTCATGCATGAGAGTGCAAGTTGCAACGGCAAAGTACCAATGTGACTTTTTCGAGTTATGTATATATATTTTTTATTTATTATTTAATAATCTAAGAAAGTACAAAGACACCACTGACAAACGGTGAAGGAAAACATTGTGAGGAAACCTGGGCTTATAATTTCTAATTATAAGTTTGAAATCACCAACCCACATTAAGCTAGCGTACTGATTAAACTGTCAAACACAGAGCGGTCACCGATGACCACAACCTATTGTTCTTTAATTGTGTCTATAATTACGGTACTCAACGAGTTAATGCTTAAACCTAATCCAGTGAGAAGAGACCTTCGGTCGGCATGGGCCACTTATAGACTTAATGATGAAACTGATGATGATTTTACTTATTTGACTTACTTATTAGAAATTAAACCTTAAAACGCTTGCTAAGCAACCAGTTTTCAGAAGAAATACTTTCTCAAAGAGCTACGCTTAAGTTTAAATCGAATTAACTTAAAGACTATTTGTATATCAGGCCTCTGCCTCGAATCTTGATTTTACACATTAAATCTTGCATCTGCCCGCAAGATTCAAGGTGAAGTGAGACATTAGTTTTATCATATCCGCCAAAAGACGTCCACTGCTAAATGTAGGCCTTCTACCCAATGACAGTCGCTCACAATATTAATTTGCATTTTCGTAGGCACCTAGTAAATGAAAGAGATTGTAAAGCATACTCTGTAAAACTCTATAGTTACAGCATACTTGCTGAATTAACAGTTAATTAATTTACTCATAATACAAAGTGTAACAGTCACGAGTAGCGAGCAGTGTTTAGAGTTTAGTTTGTAAACAAAACAACCAAATAAAAAATAAGTCAACATTGACATTTTTCAATTAACTGTCATCTGTCATTTGTCATATTATGTACTTTTGCGTAAAGGTGGCATTATACTTGACATTGCGTATTTGTTGTGTACGGCCAAAACAGACCATGTGTGGAGGGTTTATTCGTCTTCATTTGCTATATACGTATATTTGCACGCTTTTACATTTATAGATACTATTTGGACGCCATTTGTACGTAGTTCACAAATATTTGTACAAATGAAGCGAATACGCAATGGCAAGTGTAATACCGCCTTTACGTACCTTCTGCACATTTTCAAAGTGAAATAACTTTTGAACCCGAAGTTCTAAAAATATGTAATTTTTTTCTAAACTTCATAATAAAAATATCTATCGTTCAGACCATTCACTTGGTTAAAACAATGACAAATACAAAATTTTATAGCGGTACCAAACCTCCATACAAACCTGCCATTCTCCTTTTACTAAATGAAACAATTAGAAAAGAAAGGAAGAACGAAAAAGTATTATTATTAATGTCTGTACACCCACCATAAGATACAAGTCGCCAATAGTAAGGTCTCCTGCATCAGACGCGCTCCATCCTTTCCTAATCTGTCGTAGAGCGAGGTCTACATCAATATCTGGCTTGACCTCCTCCTCCTTACTCGGCTCCTCCGTCTTCGACTCTTCGACCTTTGACTCCTCGACCTTCGACTCCTCGACCTTCGTCTCCTCCATCTTGGGTTCCTCTGCATCCTTATCCATGACTAGAGTATAGATACTGCCGCCACGCTTCTTTGGACGAATACGGAATTTTACCTGGGGATTAGACATTTCTTACTGATATGCTCGACCATAGGTCTCCTCGATCACAGACGTCAGTTCATTCAAACGAATCATAAATATTTTTTTATTGTATTTAGCTGAACAGTTTTTTTTGTTTGTTTACCATAACATAACATCACGCCCTTTTATCCCCGAAGGGGTAGGTAGAAGTGCACATTACGACACGTAATTTGCCACTGTATAATGCAATACCCACTTTTTACTATTTATGTTATGAGTCCCATGTAATAGGGGATGAGCCATATACCGGGCACATTTCCAGACTCCGTGCTACTACTGATATTTAAAAAGAAACCAGTAATACTTTGCCCGACCCGGGAATCGAACCCGAGGCCCCTTGCCCGGCAGTCACAATTGGGACCACTCGGCCAATGAGGCAGTCAAGTCTTTTATTTTTTTATAAGCGCACATTTTCGGAATTACCGGTCTAATTTCAATAATTATTTTTATGTTGGATAGTCCTCTTTTCAAGGAAGCTTATAGGCATCTCGCTACAACCAATAGGAGCCGAGCAGCGGGTGAAACCGCGCCGGAGTATCAAGTTAATAATAAAAATGAATTTAAGTACCACGACATAAGTGCAAGTGGATTTACCTTCAAATTCTTGAACTGAGTATCCTTCCCGTTTTTATCTTTTCCGTGATCACTTTCATTGTCCGTGTCGCTCTTATTATACTTCTCGTCGTCCTCCATTTCCGAAAAACTATCTTTCTCTCTCTCTGACATATCCTTGTCTCTCTCTGGCAGGTACCCAGCGTCATCTTCTGCGATTTCTCGGTCTTTCTCGTCCTCTGTGCTTGGTTTCTCTTCATCTTCTTGTAATATTTTGTAGTTGGCCATAAGTTCTATACCGTCAATGGCAGTTTCCTCTATATTGATAAGTTTGTCCGAGTCGTCCAGTTTGAACTTCTTCTGTTCTTCTTTATCTTTGTCTGTGGCGCTGTCTTTTCGCTGACGTTTCGGTGTACGTATTTTTGCTGTAATGTTATAAGGTTTAATGATTGTTTATTTAGTCATAAAGAACATACATCACTTACAATGAGCTTAATGTACATTAGGTAAATGACTAATTATAACTGGGTATACAGAGTTATGACCTAACGGTATTAATAAATATTTTCAGATACATATTTTCTTAACTTATTTTTAAACATGGCAATCGACTGACAGTCCATAATATTATTTGGCAAATTAATATATAATCGTGCTCCCTCATATGTTATGCATCTTTTACCGTAATTTGTTTTGTGCCTTTGTTGTTTAATCTTGTTTGTATTTCTCAAGGAATGATAAAATGATGTCAAAGTAAACTTGATCTCAGATTGTATTTGACGCGATAGTATTTTTCTCACCAGCAAGCACACATTGTAAGTGTGGTAAATTTTCCTGTGTCGTGTCGTGTGGGGACCAAACTCGCAAAATGTTTCACAGCAGCTAATTTACCGACCTACAGTCACAAAAACATTTTTTGACGTTAAATAGAAATTTTAAGCATTCCTTGGGAACACGTCTATGTGTCCTTACCGCCGCCATCCTTGTCCCTTTGCGATCCCATTCGTTCAAGATATGAGGAGAAGCATATCTTCTGGCTGGAGAGCTGTTCACTAGGACTGATCACTGGAAGGTGGATGTCGGCCCCCGGTCTGGGGCCCACGTGGAGGGCCAGCTTCTTTGGGGCCTTTTGTTCTGGAAAGCAATATGCAAGAACTGTTTTATAAGATAACGTAAGAAAATATGTGACTTTTTTATGGCATAAACCGGTAAACGAGCAGACGGATCACCTGATGGTAAGCAATCGGCGTCGCCCATGGACACCTGGAACACCAGAGGCGTTACAAGTGCGTTACCGGCCTTTTGGGGATTAGGAGTTTGAGGATCGTGGTATTTGGGGATTGGGGAGATTGGGGAAGGGGAGGGTAATTGGGCCTCCGGTAACCTCGCTCACACGACGAAACATAACGCAAGCGTTACTTCACATTGGTTTTCTGTGAGTTTAACTGGAGTCACTTTGGTATTGAGATTGTCCATGGGCAGCGGCGAAAGCTTATCATGAGGTAGTCAGTCTGGTCGTCTGCCGTTCTATTCCATCAAAACCGATCAACTTGAATACATACGTGCGAAAATGGACGTATAAATGAAAGAGGTATGTAAGATTCGTAGCAATTGGAGTTCCATAGTCTCTGCCTACCCCCATGGGAGCCAGGCGTGAGGTTATGTGTAAAATGGACGTACCTTGTACAATAATCCTGTCAGTCTCCAAGTTGAGATGTTCCTCCAGTTCTCTATTTGGTTCACTCTCCTCCATACATGGGCAATCTTCTACCTCCTTCTGCGTGTCGTCTGCTTTTATCTCTATGCTATCACACATCTTGTGCTTGAACGTAGACTGTGCTGAGTTACGGAATGATTTTGGAGGAACGATCTTATTTATAAATGGACAAAAATTCACTTAGTTTTTTTTAAACGTTGCCCCACGCTAGGATTTCCTCCTGTGTCGTGGGTGCGTTTACAATTTGTGGATCACACAAAATGTTCTGTGCGGGAATCGAACCCGTGACACGTTGCACGGCAACCGGTTGCCCAAACACCGCACCAACCGTAGTTTTATTTGTATGTGTATGTGTGTGTGTGTGTGTATGTATGTGTGTAACTACACTATAAGTTTGGTTTGAACTATTAGCATTTCAAACAGCATAGTTGGAGCTAGACACCAGAGAATTTAATAAGAGAGCTTTACCTCATCTATTAGACGATCCGTAAACTTTATTGTTACTGTAAGTATCAGTAATACAAAAAATGGAGCTATGTAGCATAGGTTTGTGAAAGGATACAGGTTCCCTCCAGCGGTGCTGCAGCGCGCGTATGAGCGCGTGCAGGCGCGCCCGCAGCGGCAGGGCGAGCGCGGCGCGCGGGTTGTGCGCGGCGGCCTGCACGCGCGCCCACGACATAGCGTCGCGCGCGCGCAGCGCCACCTGCGCGCGGGAACACACGCGCGCGCCGCACGCACGCTCTGCGACCGACGGATTTACGAACTGTTATCGCTACATCGATCTAGTTGTCTCCATACAACTAATGCCATCGATTGTCGATATCTTTGGATTCAGGTCGGTTATTAACTTCGAGTGTTAATAACCATTTGCAGTGGTACATAGTTTTAATTAAATTAATAACCATTTATTACATATTCAGGTGTTTCTTTCTCAAAAAACATTAATATGTGTCAACATATGTAGGTGCACAAGATAAATGTCTATCAATATAACTCTGTACGAATACACATAAAAAAGAAATATAAAACCCTATGAATTAAAAGTACCTACCAGTGATTTGATTAAGCCTCCTGAGCGCGCGACACATGGGCGTGCGCACCCGCAGGTTGCGTCCGCGCGCGCGCACTACGATACTGCCACACAGTACCATGTCGCCGAGCCGAGCGCACGTCTTCTCGTTCACTGAGACCAACTTCTTGCGAAGTTCCCCGTAGTTTATTAACGCGTATAACTCTTGAGCCACTTTCTTTACATCTGTTTAAAGTAAAAAAGTAAAGTAACTATTTTATCTTGTTCTTTTTTGGTGGCGCTATGACGTCTTAAGGCCAGTGTGGTTCCGCTGAGGGAACGAGATCTCGCTAGACGATTTATATAGCTCTGTTTCTTTCTCTCAATGGAACCATTGTGACTTTAGGACGTCATAATAACCCCGCTGAAATAATTTTAACACTAAATTTAAATGTGGGAGAGCCATGGTTTGGCACAAATAGGCCGGTTCGACCGGAGTGCTACCACGGCCTCGCAGAAAACTGATGTGAAGCAACACTTGCGTTGTGTTTCGTCATGTGAGTGAGGTTACCGGAGGCCCAATTGCGGGGGGCAATTGCCCCCCCCCCCCCTTTCCCAATCTCTCCAAACCATGAATCCTATTTCAATTCTCAAACTCCTAATCCCCAAAAGACGGTTAATGTAGCACGTAAGATTTTTGTAACAAGTAATTTTGACTGTAAATTAAAAGAAAATGTAATGGAATGACAAGGGCACGGACAAGAGTCCGTGGAGAATAAGAAATGTAAGATTAAAAAAAAAAAATCCCCAAAAGACCGGTAACGCACTTGTAAAGCCCCTGGTGTTCCAGGTGTCCTTGAGCGACGCCGATTGCTTACCATCAGGTGATCCATCTGGTTGTTTACTGGCTTCTTACATAAAAAAAATACTAAGTAATGGATTCCTTCATATCTCATTAACTACATTCTCGGTTAGCACCCGTTTTGTAATTGTTCAGGCTAAAAATTATAGATGTTCGTATGCTACGAAAGCAGATTGCTTGCTTGCACTTGAAATCGTACGAAGTAACACATCATCAAAGAGGCTAGTCAGTTAGAAAATCCAATATTATGATATGAGAATCGAAACTGCGACGCGTTGCACAACTGCGTCGTGCAAGGGAATTAAAAAATTGTCTATAAATAGAAGTTTTGTATCAACATTCTATGTCTAGTAGCCAAATGAGATTATCCAACAGACATTCGTATATGAACCGGTTACCGGCTTTGTATTCTTAAAACCACTGGTATTTTCCTCATAATCATAATATAATAAGTACCTAAGTTAACAAGCTAGCTAGATTTATTCACATGTCAAATGAGGTACAATAGCTACATTAATTAATATAATGTTAAAGCAGTCATCTTTGATAATGTAGAGGTACTGTCGACCCATTAGTTGCGAGTGCACTGTAATTTATAGCTACCGTAGATGTCGTTATATTAATTCATTTATTAATGTACGTGCTTAATATTATTGTTATAAAATGCTGATTAGTTGTCGATTAAAATCGCTATTACGATTATATTTATCTGTAACTTTGTGATTGTTTAAATGCTTTTTGTTAATTGATAAAAAAGTAATTAATTTTTTCCATCTTCAAGAATTGAAGAATAACTAAAGCTTAATAAATAAAGCTTTTATGGTTTTCCTATTTTATTATTAATAGTCATCGAAATCGATTAAGGCGAGTGACTTCACATTTATACATAGGTATAAATTTAGATTATAAATGCAATATTTTGATGATATCATCATCAACTAACGACGCCTGTATTGTGTGCAACCATGCATGTGACAATGTGAGGTTAGTGAAGACTTCAACTATCTCTGAAAAGACTGGCGACGCACTCGTGACTCCTCCGGTGTCTATGAGCGGCGGTGATTGTTTACCATCAGGTGATCTCTTCGTTTAAAGCCCCACATCCCATGGAAAACTTACTCTCATCAAAGTGCACATGTTTGGACAGCTTATGCCATGTCCTGTAGTAGAAGTGACTGACTTGTGTCTTAGTCTTTAAGTTGACATCAGGCATGCCTTTCTTCTTCATCTTAGCGCAGATGTAAGCAGTAATGGCATCAAAATCCTTCCCATACTCATTCAGAGCCTCGAAGAACAAATTCTTTTCGTCAGTAGACCAGAGGGCTTTTGGCATTCTCTGTTTTACTGTGGGAAACTTTAGGTCTTTCTCGTCTATTTTGTTTGGAGTCTCGCATTCTGGAATATCTGAAAGAAATAGTTTCAAATTTACACATAATAATATGTATAACTTGTGAGATTTTGATTAAGTAGTGCGGACGTCGCTACGACCGAAAAGGGCTCATAGAATGTCTAAATATAACTTCGCATAACTTTTGAAAGACTACATGAAATCGGATAATATACTTTATTCGTGTTCGTCACCGTTCGATAAAGTCTGTATGAAGGAAAAATGTAATACTGGCGTGACCCACGAACCCCAACTCCAGAAAGTTCGGCAACGAATTTTTAAATCCTGTGGTTTTAGTAAGGTATTGTTGATATCGATTGAGGACTGCTCATTTGCGATCTTATGCTATAGAAAAATCACCACCGTCATCCTTCCTTCTTACCGGGTCTCTTGTCCCTATCAGCAGGTGGTTCCAGTCGAAGCTTCTTGATCACCCTGGCGCTTGTCCTCTGTTGTTGCTGTGTGGTCAGTGAGCCTAACAGTTCTGTGCGCTCTACATCACCACTAGATGGGGCTCCCGGAGACATGGCCGCGTCTTTTACGCTCTAAAACAAAATAAAAATTAAATAATTTGTTATGTTATGGGAAGTAATACCACATCACATTTGTAAGGACGGGACTTCGATAAATCAAACAAGATGTTAATCGTTACACGTTCTGTTTATTAATCCTCCCTCCTCTCCAGAGATACAGTTTATATTCTTATGCACTAATGATTAACTACTACGTCACACATTAACAGCCTATAAGTGCCGTCTACTGCTGAGCAAAACCACGCTTGCTCAATGCGGGTTGGCTGATGCTATTCAAAATCCTGCCAAGTTAAGCTCAGTTCTAGGCACTAGCACTGCACTAGCTTCGATATTCGCGCGGACCAACTCTTTGTGTGATCCACAAATTGCTGTTCGGGGGCTGGGTGTGATGTGTATGTAAATTTGTAGGTATGTTTAATGTAGACGTTTATGGGGCGCACGGGCCTGCGGACGGCGAGCACGGGTAACTCGCCGTCCGAGCGTACGGCGCGTCGCGTTCCGCGCGTGCCTCAAGGAGCTATCAAACCACTACAGATGGGGCCCAATAGGGCTGATGCCAACACGGAGTCGCGGAGGGCTTACCGGGTTGCCGGGCTCCGGTTCGAAGTGCAGGAGTAGGAACGGGGTGGTTTTTAGTCAGTAAGAGTCTGACACTCCCTCTCGCCTCACCCGGGCGGCAGAAATCAATGGATGACTTGCCCCCCTCAAAAAAAACCTTTAAGGGGCAGTAGCACAATTTGATGGATTTTTTTTGTTGTAAATTATCGAATCGCTTATCTATCTATCTATCTATATAAATAAAAATCAATTTCCGTTCGTTAGTCTCGCTAAAACTCGAGAACTGCTGAACCGATTTAGGTAATTTTGGTCTTGAAATGTTCGTGGAAGTCCAGGGAAGGTTTAAAAGGTGAGAAAAAACATTAATAGGCGGTACGAAGTTTGCCGGGCCACCTAGTAAATAATATTTCTTAAATCATTTACCTTTGATAACTAAACGAACTCTTCTGTGATTAATAACATACATATTGTGTTAATTTAAACGATATGTTATGCCTATTGGAAATTAATCCTACCAATAATAAAAATACAAAGGTTTATAAGGACACTAGCGGACCCAACAGGCGTTGTCCTGCATATCGACTTCAATGTATAAACAAAAATTCATTTAAATTAGTTCAGCTGTTTAGGATAAATAACCTAAACATCGACTGCAGCGCCATTTGCCGGACTGATTTGTGAATCTAACCATTCCCAGATCCCCTTGAACACACAAAAAATTTCATCAAAATCGGTCCAGTCGTTTGAGAGAAGTTCATTGACATACACACTCACAGAAGAATTATATATATATAAGGACATATAGATGAGATAGATTATAGTCTGGTATAAAACATGGAGCTATTTTTATGCCCGTAATAGTTAAATTGCAAAAATGCATTAACCGTTTATAGGTAATACAAATTAAATAAGTAGGTAATTGTAAAATGACGAACGATGAATCTGTACTTCACAATTGCAGCAATTCATTTAGTTTAATTTTATGAATGTCATAAAATGATATTTAAATGACATACATTCATAAGATCACGCCTTTTATCCCCGAAGGGTAAGGCCGAGGTGCACATGCCACTGTACAATGTAACACCCACTTTTCACCATTTATGTTACGAGTCCCATGTAATAGGGGGTGAGCCTATTGCCGTATACCGGGCACAGTTCCAGACTCCGTGCTACTGTAACTGAGATTTTTTTTAAAACCCAGTAATACTTTGGATGACCCGGGAATCGAACCCGAGACCCCTTGACCAGCAGTCGCACTTGCGACCACTCGGCCAGCGAGGTAATTCATTTGGTTTAATTTTATGAATGTCATAAAATGATAGTTAAATGATTGAAGATATAAATGTTATTTACGAGTAGATGATCATGTACTATGTGCACACCTTGTCATCATCATCAAGAACAAGAACCCGTAACAATGCACTAGTTGAGACGGTTTGCCATAGTGCTCACGCTTAGTAAGTTGAAGATAGAACACTAATTGTGACTAAATGTCAAACTATGCTGTCTGTTTATGCTGGTTTGTTCCGTTACCAATAACAAGGTTGACTGGACCAGTTGCTGACACACACGCCATACTCGTGAACGGGTGCCTTCTGCTGGGTCAGGGCAGCTCCTATCGTGTTGGTGGGATAATATCGTAGAGCCGTCGAAATAAAAATAAATAGATAATAGATACAGGAGAGGGGTTAATAAATGTTGGGAAAATATTCTAATGTATATTTATTCACCCCATTCATGTATTCATTCACCCTTCGAATTCTATTCACCCCGTTTTACGATATTATGTAATGTATTCTTGTAGTAATAATTAATAAATGTGGTTAATAGTGTGTAACAAGGTGTAAGTACTTTACAAATATTAATTAGACTTATTGTAAAAAAAAGGAATGACAAAGGACCTAGTCTGTGGCGAATTATTATTTAACATCGAATAAAAAACAGTACCTAACCCAGTAAGATCAGATCATCATCGGGTCGGATTCAGGTTTACCAAATATTAATAACCTTGTTTATATATTCGCAACAACTTAAAAAATCACACAAAGATAATATAATTTATTGAAAATACTCACATACTACATACCTACATGGTGACCTTATCAGAAAATTTTGCATTAGTACCTAACTAGCACATCGTAATCGTAAATGGTTAGAGAAAATAAGGACAAAAAATAACCCATCGCTGTAGGTTTCAATTACACGAATATATAATTTTAATATACAGTATAGTAGTTATTG